TTTATCTCACCATCTGTTTGGAGGCCCTTGGCCTGGAAAATGTTGAAGACCCCTGATTTACAGAATTGGTTTAAGAGGGTCTCAATGTTAAAGATGTTTAAAGGGACGGGAGCAGAAAATGCCATATTTTCCGGACTATAATCCGCTACTTTTTTACCACGCTTTGAACCATGCGGCTTATAAGAAGGTGCATCTTTTGTGGATGTTTCCAGACCTCCAGAGGGGGAAGTCACAAATGTCCTGAATTCACTTTATTCATTTATTTGCCTTATTAAAGCTGCCGAACCAATGAAGACACTGGGCTCCACTCCTGCAAAGCTAAAATAAAGAACAGACAAAGCACAATGTTTCAGTACAAGCTTTTACTGCTGCAAGCTAACGGGAGTTGGCATTCCTCTTCGTCCCTACTCTAGGGGCTATATGTAGAGCTCCCCCTACAGGTGTGGTGGGAGACACTTGAGTAGATATCATCAACTTATATATGTATGTGTTAGGTGCATAAGTACCTAACTAGTGAGGTGTGCTCTATAGTCCGGAAAATACGGTATTGCTTTTGCAAAGCTTTCATAGTTGCAGCCAGTAGTAGCATTTATATTCAATTATCCGGGATGTGATTACTAAATATACGTTCAATGATCCATTAACGTTCTTTTTCCTAGAGCTGAATATGTGTGCAGCTGCTAGATGTTCCAGATCCAATAATTAAGTATTCAAGTTTCAAATTGTGTTTATTATACGTGTTTTACAGAAGATATTCTGTTGTTGCTTAACAATCTTCTGAATATGATGCTCAAGGTTGTCAGTCATTTTTATCTTATGGAAAATTATGTTTTGTAAAATCATCTACAGGAGTCCCAGGAAACAGAACTTAATTAGCTTGAACTTCTTTAAAGTGTTTAGGATTTACCTCCATCTGATAGTTAAAAGTCTGTATGATTTGATTGAAATAACTCTGTGAAGTGTCTTGACATTTGTTCTAAAATGGTTTTTAATAAGTAAACTGATTTGGTTAGATATGCATTGTAATTGAACCATCCATAAACATTAGTTCAAGAAAATCAGTAAAGTCCCAACCTTATAATTTAGGATTAATGAAAGTAAATCTGTTATTTGCATTTTAACTTTATGCTTTTTAAAAGCAGTCACAATCTCACTATTAAATTCCTCTCTAACTTGAGGCTTCTTTTTCAATATTAAACAATCAGGATCATTTTATTAAAGTTGCATCATTTTTATATGAAAAAAATAGCCAAAAGACAAATGTTAATTATTATATTTTATTAAAAGTCAAGAAGATAAAACTGAAAAAAAAAAAAAAAACACAACACAGTGGTTAAAATAACCACTGTAGAATGTGTGTTGTACAAAGCTTTAAGAACAAATTATAAAAAAAAAAATGGTTACATGTTGGAAGCAAAACCAGAAACTAAAAAGCACTTATACCAAAACGATGCTCGCATTGCTCCATTTCCTTAGCATGATCTGATAAAGCAGAACGGTAGGAAGCTTCTAGATGTTTAGAGCAGCGACTAACTCCTCAGGTAATCGATAATCTTCACCACCCAGGGCCGCTTTGAATTCACACAGATGCGGCGGGATTGTTTTGTTATTAAGCTGAAAGAAAAAAAAAAATTTTTTTCCCCAATAGAAATAATTTTTATATGAACTGCAAATTTAACACAAATAAAAACTAAAAAAACAAAACAAATTACTATCTAACAGATAATGAAAGAAACTAAGGTGCTGGTACTTACACAATGGCATTCACGTGACACCGAGCATCAGTCTTGTAATACGAAGAGATCCGTTTTTTGTTTATGGGTCTTGGAAAGAATTTAAAGCAGCAATGAGCACGAGCAATTCCACCTGAAAATAACGGCGTTAGGTAAATTATTATCAGCTGACTGGAGAAGTGGCATCTCTAAGTGAAATAAACCTCAACATTCTTACTGTTGCAGAGGACTGTAGACAGCAGGGCGGCTCCCAGGATGCAGAGCAGGTAGATATGAGCCACCTTCATGATGATCGGATCTGGTAGATGAGAGAGATTAACACTACAGCCGAGGAGCTCTGCCTTCTAAACAGGCAAGGGGCTAGTGGCGCATTTATCAAAATGATACATATAGATGTGTCAGACGAGTTAAAATAGACCGGATTTTGCGGTTTGACCCAAATAAATGTGAAAGATGGTGAAATGTTCCACTTGGTTTGGGAGGGCAGTAGATTTCATAGGAAACACAACTGTGGTTAGACCAAGTGTGCATCTAACTACATACATTCAAACAACATTGTGTATGACACTTATTTAGAAATAAAAAGAGAAAACTGATAAGACTTAAAACAGGATGTTATATTTCATATGTTTATTAAATATTTTGACGTTTATATTTATACGAAAACAAAAGTGGGTGGTTTTTTTGGGCTTTATTACTGTTGTCAGAATGAAATGCTTAGAATTTAAATGTCATCCTTCTGTATTTCTGGACTGATTGGATCCCAGAGGTAAAGTGCAGACCACTGAAAGTGGACAGAGAATCCATCTCTAATCATTACACCATGCTATCTGCCACCAAAAGCTAATGCTAAGCAAGAGGCGCTGTACAATCTCATCAACAGTCAAATTAAGATCAACCCAGAGGCAGCTGTGATCAGAGCTCGAGACTTGAATGATGTAGAACTAACATTTACTCTGCCAAATTTTTATAAACTTAGTAAGTTTCCCACCAGAGAGATGAATATATTTGACCAGGTGCAGAGGGATTTTACAGGAGCGTTCAGAGCAGCATGTGGTCTTAACCTTGGAAAGTTGGATCACATCTCTTAGAATCCGCAAAACCAAACTCACTATCAGAAACATCCAGGTTTGGACTGATGAGGCGACCTCAGCTCTTCTGGCCTGCTTAGAGGTTATTGATAGAGGACACTGGTCTCTATGCTTGGGTTGCCCACCGATACTTGAAAAACAAAATCGTTCCGTATTTAGAAATACAAGTACCTGTCCCGTATTTAGTGAAAAAGGTACACATTTTGTCCCGTATTATTGTGACAGTAAAATAATAGTAAAAAGCTAATTGAAAATGAAGAACAAGGGAACGTTAGATACACAGACATCCCAAGTCTCCCAGAAGTTCCGGGAGTCTCCCTGATATCGATAGTTGTTCATGGATGCACGCTGGTCGGATAAATTATCCCGGATTTTAGCCTATGGGAGGTGGTGTTTTTTAATGTGAGTGAGAGCGTGCAGGAGGAAGTTAGTATGGCAAGCCATTTTAACATAAATTCGGTTGTACAGCCTTTATCAAGATTCTAGTCAAAATTCATTTCAAGATATCTCAAATAGCGACACCGGATTTGTCATTTAAAGCGTCACACCTTGATTTAACTTTTCCTCCTGTGGATTAAAGTGACAGTAAGGATTTTTTTAGGAATGATCCTCCTGGAAGCCCATTAAAAAGGTCATTACACATTTTGACTAGTCAGAATGTCAATTTAAGATATCTTTTATGGAAAAGCTGAATAATATAATAGATATATAATAATATCTTATAATAGATATATAATAATATCTTATAATAGATATATAATAATATCTTGAATTCATTTAGAGATATCTTAAAAGGAAGTTTGAATAGTCGAAATTACAATTCAAGATATCTTTCAAGATATTTTGTCTAGTCATCACTTGCTTTAAGATATCTATAATTTAGTTTTTTGAGTCAAAACTGCATATCTCCTTTCCTAAAATACATTTAAGATATCATGAATTATGGTGGCATTTGAGATATCTTTAATTAGAATTATTACTAGGCAAAACTAAAATCGAGATATCTTGAAATTATACTATGACTAGTCATAATTTAATCATAGGTATCTGAAATGTGTATTTCAAATTGTCAGTAATTCATTCTAAATATCTTAAACTGACGTCTCCATACAAGTTACTGGTGAATCTGACGTCATTTTGACTAGTCAGAATGTAATTAGAGATATCCCGAATAAGTATTTTGACTAGTCAAAATATAATAAGAGATATCTTAAATCGCTAAAATGTCTATTCCTAAAACAATTTGAGATATCTTGAATGTAAAGGCGGTATAACTGAATTTATGTTAAAATGGCTTGCCATAAATCATGACTAGGCAAAACAAATTTAAAGATGTCTTGAATTGTAATTTCGACTATACGAAATTCTTTTTAAGATATATCTAAATAAATTAAAGATAGCTTGAATTATTCAGCTTTTCCATTAAAGATATCTTAAATTGAACTTCTGACTACTCAAAATGTGTCCTAGAGGATCAGTCCTAAAAAATTCCTTACTGTTAGTTTAGTCCACGGGAGAAAAAAGTTAAATCCAGTCCGTACTTTCCTGTGTTCTTGTCAAGAACATTTTAGGAATGAAGGAACTTGGTGAGGACACAATTCACATTCTTGTGAATTGAGAAACTGCCATAGCCACTCTTAATGCTAAACATGGACCTAAAACCTATACATATCAGATTTAGAGTACGAAGTTCTATTTCTTTCCTGAGATACTTAAACTTCTGTTTTGCTAACGGCTTGGTCAAGAAAACTGCCTTTCTATAATCTGTGGGACAGTATTGCAGTTGAATTTGTCCATTTTGCACAAATTCACGAATGCAATGATGGCGAATGTATCTGTGCTTTGTTCTTGAATGATCAGCTGGATTCTTAGCCATGGCATAAGCTCCCAGGTCGTCTTCAGAATCACAGTTGGTCTAACATCCATTCTGAGATCACTGAGCAGTCGCGTAAGCCAGGTACATTCTTGTGCTGCCTGGCTGAGCGTGATGTATTCAGCTTCAGCTGTTGACTGTGCAACAGTGTTCTGCTTCTCAAGTAAGCATTAAGCAGAGCCAGCTCAGTAAAAAAACATTACCAGTTTTAGAACGAATCCTGATCTCCTGCCCAGTCAGTGTTTGAGAAACTAATTAATTTTCCAGACTCTGACCACTTGTACTTGAGAGTACCACCCCAGGTCAAATCAGGTTCAGCACTGGACAGGGCCTGTGGTGACTGAACAGCAGGGGCAGACAAGTTAATTGTTTTGGCTGTGGGCTTCTGGGGGGCTGGACATCACTCAACCTGTGACACCTGTCCATCAAATTCTTTCCTATATTTCAGAATTTAACCCTTTGCCATTAGCCAGCACTTCAGACAGAACCCTAACTCCTTCAACAGCGCCCATACAAGGCTCCTGAGGTTCAGCACTGGACAGGGCCTGTGGTGACTGCACAGCAGTGGCAGACAAGGCACCAGCCATTTCAGCACTGGACAGTACCACCCCAGTGTTGAATATTGTTATAATATGGTTAAGTCATATTGTTTATATGTATACTAAATAGAATGAAAACAAAATACAATTCGGGTTAAGATTGTAATGTTTGGTTATTTAAGTGTTTCTCCACTAGATGGCGTAGGGGCCATATGTCAGCCATGGTTGTTTAGTTTGTGATTCCTGACCAGCGAAGAAGTCAGTGATTTTTCTAGAAGATGTAGCTCTATGTAAATGCTGGAAGTTGCCGCAGTTCAGAATTAAAGTTATATATATAAGGAAATCGAATCTACAGTCGTCTTTTTCAGCAAGATTGGATGTTTCAGCTAAATCCACAACACCCAGGTTAAATCAGGTTCAGCACTGGACAGGGCCTGTGGTGACTGCACAGCAGGGGCAGACAAGGAGCCAGCCATTTCAGCACTGGACAGTACCACCCCAGCTTAAATCAGGTTCAGCACTGGACAGAGCCTGTGGTTCAAGAGCAGTTCTTTGGGGGGAGCCAAACCTTCTGGCCTTTCAGGTATTCAGGTGCCAGAACTCTCTGGTGATTAGCAGCCTTGGCCTCACTATCCGAAGCACTGCAGACAGCTCTCACAGGCCCTCTCCAGGCTTGCTGGCACCTCAGAGCAGATAACCTGGCTGACGGAAGAATCCTTTTCCTAGATGGTGAACACCGGTGGCTGAAACCCAAAAACAACATAGAATGGAGAGAGCCCAGTGGTGCTAGAAGGATCCGAGTTAATGGCATGTTCGACCCAGGGAAGTTGACTGGACCACTTAGTGGGATCTGACTCACACAAAATGCGTAGCTTAGTTTCTAATTCCTGATTGGGCCCCTCTGTCTGACCATCCGTCTGGGGGTGGAAACCCGAGGAAAGGCTGACAGAGAGCCCAAACAAAGTCCTGTCTGAGACTATTTCTGTCAGAGACCATGGTCTGAGACCATGGAGGCAGAACACCTCACAACCAAGGATTTCTTTAGCAGATGGGAGTTTGGACAGTTGAACCAAATAGATCATCTTAGAAAACTTATCAATGAGAGTATTGATGAGAGCAATGAGGTCCATGGCAATATTGGACCATGGCCAGGACAGAATGGGTAAAGGTTGTAAAAAGCCAGATGGGGGTCTTCTGGATGTTTTTGGCCACTTGGCTAAAGTGTCACATATTTCCGTACATGTTAATAATCTTTTTTTATTATTATTTTTTTTAGAAACGGAATCAGACTTTATTTGGACAAGTTCTTAGAACAAGCTCAAATCTATGTGTAAATCCATATTATCTAGGAAGGTCAGCACAGTAGATCTTTCCTATAGTTATATTTAAACCCAAAGGCTCCTCTCTTAGACCTCCATCACAGTGACATTGGCTCTTGGACTTTTGTAATACTGCTGCATGGTTACCACCACTTGTCAATCTGGAAAGGAGAATTGTTGTGTTCCTGTGTTCCTGTCCTCCTTCCTGTTCATTAGGCTGCTGCTGGCTATGTAGTGTGGGCAGGTACTTTGGATGACAGCTTTGACAGCTCTGGCAGCAGAGAGGGGGGAAATGGCTGGAGCTCAGTTGCTGCATCCTAGTCATACATCTTACTTGGTATAAAAGTGACCACAGTTTTCAGTCCTAATCATAAATAACTTCTCCACATACCTAGAATTCTACCTTGACAGTTGTGGAACAAAAAGCAAGGAGCCATGTCATGTACAATTATAGCAAATAAAAAATTCTATTCTTGTTTTTAATAAGTATATCCTGAAAA